TCTACCTCCTGAGACACAGCTGTCCAAAGTGGCAATTTAAGTTATATCAGATTTTCCACATTCAAGTCCAAGTTATCAAATGGATCAAAATCACTGTGTTGAATCTGCACTATAAAGTTTAAGAAACATTAATGAAACCTCTTGTCCCTCTGAACATGAACAAGTGTTCGTTTAAGTTCCAGTCTGCAGCTTTAGTGATGGATGGTTTAACATCGTTCTGAGGAGCTATTAGCACTTAAGTGAATAYGTTTGAAAAGTTGCATCATTTTGAATGAATTATTAAATGTGTACAGATTCTAAATGCTGAATAGGACTCTTTAAAGATTCTTAAACTTATTACTTGTATTGATTTCTGAGTGTATCATATCATATGTCCAGTCTCAGCACCTTAACTGTTTCCTAATCTTTCTGAGCCAGCATGTGTCCGGCTCCTGTGAGGACCGTGGTTTCATCACATTTCACGCCTATAACAGAAATACAAAATCACGCCCACTCTGACAGCTGATTGGATGAGTGAGGGGGGGTATCTTTAAAAAGTGGACTAGGAGAGATGAAGAATCACTGAAAACGTCAGCATTAGACACATCACACGGTCAATAATACAAGTTTAGTCTATCTTTAAATTCTCCTGTTTGAGGTAATTTCTCTCCTCTCAGGATTATGTTTATTTTCTGAAATAAAGCTCACTGTGCAATTAAAAGCTGATCTTGACATTTCCTCTTGCTCAACAAAGGATTTGAGATGTTCTCAGCGATGAAACTGTTGGATTTAATTCTTTGCTTCATCATGTTGAGCTCCTCCGTTGCTGTGAGTAGCTAATAACATGGATCATCAGACCCGCCTAATAATCACATGCTTTGTAAGCACTGCGGTGGTGTTGGGTTTTTCCTGTAAATTCAATTGAGCTTAGTTAAACGAGTTTCTGTTGTGAAATCGTGTTTTTGAAGGTCTCCACGAGAAAAAACGCTCAGACGACAGTGATGAGGTCAGTATCTGGACATGTGCAGTATCCCAGAGTCAGGACAATCACGTGAATTTGACAAAATATTCCTCCTTATGTCTTCAGCTTTTGTTTTAATCACTTTGTTTTTCAGATGATCCCGAACTACATGCAGCCTCAGTTCTAGCCTTTTCCTTCCCCCTGGGGAAATGAAATGTGCAACTGAGGAAAACCTGCAGCTTTAGGGCACATTTACTGTAAACATTGTCCAACTGTAATAAATGATCAATAAAGAAATGTGTGGCTAAGTGATCGACTTCTATGTATTTTGTTTTCCACTTTAAAGATTTATTTTCACCTATAACTGTGACTGAAGAGTTTTCACTTGTCCCAGCTGACGGGGAATTCAAGGAAGGAGCTGAGAAACAAAATGTCAGCATATTAATACATGCGTTTGCGATTGTAAGAGATAGATGTAAGAGATGAATCATCAATTGATTTGATCCATGCAATACACATTAATATTTATTTCTGATGTGAGCTATTTAATTAATGTTGCATGGATCATGGTGCAGGTGCGGTTCCAGACTGGCCACAACTTGAAATGTGGGGGAGGAAGATTTCTTAATAATGACAAATTTCCAACAATCCTTCTGTTTGTGTAAATGACAAATCATCTGCTCCTGCACCTGTATATAAGAGAAGCTCCACAGTCCAACATCACTACAACAACCTCCCCAACCAACTGAGCAACAGTCCACTGACGTTAAGAAAACTTGACGGTAATAACATTATTATTATATTATTATTCAAATGTTTAAACTGAGGAAGTCTGAGTGTATTTCTTGTTTTTCTACAGGTATGATCACTGGAACCATGCTGAAGGTCGTGCTCGTTCTCGGGTGCCTCCTGAGCCTCACTCTGGCTAAACCGGTGAGAGAAACATTCTTATATTCAATAACAATTCTTCCTATTTTTATGCTACGATCCAACATTTAACTGTAGAATTTTTACAGAACCCCAAACGGGTTGCCCGCTCTGATTCGGACTCATCCTCTGCCTCAGATGAGGTGAGTGTCCTCTCCGTCCTCTGGACCATTCATTCAAAAGTCTTTGGAAAATCTTCTGCTTCATAACTGACGTTTCTCATTTTCTTCAAGCGCAATACAGGCAGAGGTCAGCCCAGTCTGAATACA